GGTCAACTGGTTGCATTTTGCCTTCTGAAAGCAGATAACGGCCATCCCTAGTCGAATTGAAACACTATAATGGTGTGAGAGTGCATTCATTCATCCATCATTGAGTCAGGGTCTGCAGGTCAGGCTTCCACAGATGGTGACCCATGTCTCAATTTCTCTCCCATTTTTATATTTAGCCTGATTCTGAATTCTCATTTGTTTTATTATTTTCATATTGTTTTATATTTTGTAGAAATTTTTGTGTTCAGTTAATAAATATGTTTCTTTTTTTTCAGTAAGTAATTCATTTCTGTGTTTTCAAAGTTGATGCATTCCAGTGTGATTATGGTCATTCTTACTTAATGTCAAATATGGTGGATATGCTTGTAATGACTCACTACTATGTATAAAATTTGGTAATTTATTGGCAGGAAGTTTCCTCAAATTGAGGATAAGTTCTCTTCCCAAGCATGTTTTTTTAAGGAAAGGGTATTTAGTTTTTTTCTCCATCAGTTGTGACAAGAATACATTTGTCTTAAAAATTGTTTAGTATAATCCTCTAATGGATACATTTACTTAGTTTGTGTTCCTCAGAGTAAACCTAAGTTGGTTAAGGTATTTTTATTTTGATTATTCTTCTGGATTTACTTGCTAATATTATAGAAATTTGCATCAATGTTTGTTAAACTAAACTTTGTGTGCATGTGTGTGTGTTGTTGAATTTTTCTTTACTACTGTCATGAGTTGAATATTGAGTCTTTATTGTCTATCAGTCAATTTGAATGGGAATTTTTCCAAATGTAGTTGAAAGATCTTAGGGGGTCTCAAAAATATTTTCAGTAGATCTCTGAAGTGAAAACATTTTTCTTAATAATACTTAGATGTTATTTGACTTTTCTATTGTGCTGGCATTTGCGTTGACCATGCAAATGCACGAGCAGATAAAACTGCTGAGGCCATAGAATAAATTAAATCTGATAGTCATTATATTATTCATGATCATGAACTCTAAAAAATCAAAACTGTCCTTGATAAAGCAATAAAACTAATTTGTTACTTTTTAACCCTCAAATACTTCTGAAGATTAGAAATACTCCATAGATGCTTTAAACCTTTGTTATATATTTTTGGTAATTTGTTAATATTTCAATAATTGTAACACTTCTGACGACTCTCATAAGTTAATACTTTAAATTTATATGATAAAATCAGCAATATTATGAAGACATTAGAATGTATTAATATCTTAAATATTCTCCATGTTTTAATGTTCTCTTTATCATTCCTAAATGTCCCTTACATGTTTCTTTAGTTTTACATAATAACTATGCCAAAGTTAATTCATCAATCTTTCCAGGGTCCCCAATACCACACATTTACATGATGATTAGCCAGAAATATTTATAGGACTTAAAAGGCAGTTTGATTCGCATAAAAGATTTATTACAACAGCAGAGCAAGAATACACATCTAGATTAGTAAGGGAAAATATATATCCTATAAAGTCTGGAAAATTCCTTACACAAATTTCATCTACCCAATTTAAGGGAAAGCATAATGAGCATGTTCCTTCTCCATTAGCAAAAAGGTAATATTGCATGTAATGCTTCTGCCCAGGGAAGCCCATTTGAGACTCAGCATTTTTATTTGAGCATGTTCATACTGGCATCCTGATCATGTACTTAAATGATCAGTCATAATAACCAAAATTCTCGATGAGGAATCAGGTGTCCATCATGAATTAAATTGTTCAACATCATAGTCTAGGAAAGCAAATCAACACTATCAACTATGGAACATTTAAAACTTCAAGTTCTGAGACCTGAACTGAAGGCCAACCTTACAAGCAGGTCTTTCTAAAGATGGCAACTTCGGGGCTGGTAGGGTAACTTTTTTGCACAATATTGGATTAATATTACACAGATTATAATGTTTGCATTTGCTATTATTGATTAAAATTATTACTTTGTTTATGCTTATATTTTCCTAATGACAGGACTAGAATATTCATATTATTCTTTTTTAAATAACTCTTTCATTACTTTCTTGTTAATTTTCTGTCTCATTGACATGTCCATTGTTGAAAGTGGAGAATTAAAATCCTCTCCTATTATTGTATGGCCATCTATTTCTCCCTTCATGTCCATTAATATATTCCTGATATATTTAGGTATTTTAGTATTGGTACATTTATAATTGTTATGTATTCTTGATGAATTGTACCATTAAGTAACGTCTTTTGTTGTCTCTTGTGACTGTTTCCAACTTGAAGTCTATTTATGTGTTGTTACTATAGCTGCCCCTTTTCTTTTTTGGTTACTATTTGCATGAAATATATTCTTCCATTCTTTTACTTTCAGCCTATGTGGATCCTTAAAGCTAAAGCTGATCTCCTGGATGAAGCATATCATTTAATCATTTAAAAAATTCCATTCAGTTACTCTGTGTCTTCTGATTCAATAATCTAATTCATTTATTTTCAAAGTAATTATTTATAGGCAAGAATTTACTACTGCCAAATTTTGTAGTTTATTTTTTTTTTTTTGCAGATCTTTTGTTCTTTGCTTTCTCTCTTGTTGTTTATCCTTGTGATTTGGTGATTTTCTTTTGTGTTAAGTTTTAATTTTTTTCTCGTTTGGGCACCTGCCATAGTTTTTTGCTTTGTGGTTATCATAAGACTTAAAAAAGATATCTTATAGATACAATAAATTATTTTATACTGATAATAACTTAACTTCAGTCACATACAAAAACTCAAGGCTTTACCCTTCCCCCAGTTTAAATGTCTTCAAAAATAAAGCATTTCGTTTCCTTCCCAGATGGATTTTCAGAGACAGTGTGTTTTAGGTTAATATTCAGGTTTATTATATTGTGGGAATACATGTTTATTTTCAGATTTTTTAAATAACTATTTTCAGCATGATCTAATGCATGACTGATTTTTAAAAGCACCCATGGAATTTTGAAAATTATGTATATTCTTTTATTCATTATAAAATTCCCTTGCTATTAGATTGTGCTTTTTGGTGACTGTTGTTATACATTATCTGATAATTGATTAGTTGTTTGATAGCCTGAAAGAGGTATATTAAAGGCTTATAGGCTATGGATATGTACATATTCAATGTACTTTGTTTTATATATTTCAGAGGCACTTCGTTGATTATATTAAGTTGAATATCTTGTTCATCTTCTTAGTTTTAACACTTTTAGTCATTGCTATTGCTTTTATACAGTTTAATGTTTATAATTTGATTTTCTTTCATAATATGTCACACACATACTTGCTTTTTGTAGTATTTGCTTTTTAAAATTATTCGTTTCAATGCCAGGGAATCCTTAGAAAATATGTTTGAAAATTGAGAATTTCTAGGCCATTTTTCATGTAAAAATCTAATCAATTCTTTAACTTGAAGAATCAGTATTAAATTGTCTCAAATTTCCCTGAGGCATTCTATATTAACTTAGATATTTTCATTCCCCAAAACTATTTTAAATGTTTTATAGCAAGAGCTCAAGTTGGAAATATGAAGTGTTCATTACATTTATTATTCATATTGTTCTCAATTTTGAAAATACAATATTTTAAAATGTTGATTAGAGAATATTTGAAATGCTCCTCTCCGCAATTCAAATAAGAAAAATTGTAATAGAACATCTGCCCACCAACATTCAGGTTATAATGAAGATGGGCATGTAAGGTACTCTTCAGAAGCATTATTCTGTTTTCAATACTCCCTAATGCAATGTTATTTTTACTTAGATTTCTGAGAAGGAAATCTCAGCAGTGGTATACTAAGAAATCAGAGTAAAAAACTTATGTACTATCTAGTATAATTTTGTTTGTTTTCTATTACTGCTGTTGAAAGTTACCATAAACTTAGTGGTTTAAAACAATAGAATCTACAAAGAACTAAAAGAGATTTACAAGAAAAAAACAAACAAACTCATTCAAAAGTGGGTGAAGGATATAAACAGACGCTTTTCAAATGAAGACATATATGAGGCCAACAAACATATGAAACAATGCTCTTCATCACTGGTCATTAGAGAAATGCAATTCAAAACCACACTGAGATAACATCTCATGCCAGTTAGAATGGCAATCATTACAAAATCAGGAGACAAGATGCTGGAGAGGATGTGGAGAAACAGAAACACTTTTACACTGTTGGTGGGAATGTAAATTAGTTCAGTCATTGTGGAAGACAGTGTGGCAATCCCTCAAGGATCTAGAAATAGAAATTTCATTTGATCCAGCAATTGCACTACTGGGTATACATCTAAAAAAATTATAAATAGCTCTATTATAAAGATGCATGCACACGTATGTTCATTGTGGCACTGTTTACAATAGCAAAGACCTGGAACCAACCCAAATGAAAATCAATGATAGACTGGACAAGGAAAACGTGGCACATATACAGTGTGTAATACCATGCAACCATAAAAAAAAATAAGTTCATGTGCTTTGTAGGAACATAGATGAATCTGGAAACCATCATTCTCAGCAAACTGACACAAGAACAGAAAATCAAACGCTGCATGTTCTTACTCATAGGTGGGTGTTGAACAATGAGAACACATGGACAAAAGGAGGGGAGCATCACATACTAGGGTCTGTTGGGGAGTCAGGGGAGGGATAGTGGGGGGGGTGGGGAGGTTCGGAAGGGATAACATGGGGAGAAATGTAGGTGACGGAGGCAGCAAACTGCATTGCTATTATGTACCTATGCAATAATCCTGCATAATCTGCACATGCACCCCAGAACCTAAAGTACAATTAATAAATATAAATTGTATAATATATATAATTATACAATATATTATATAATTATTAATTATATATATATATAGGTTTGGAAACATGATTCATACATCTTAACTCATCCTCATTATTATATTTTAGTTATTAATTAATGGCATAGTTGCATATTTCATTCAATATATACCATGACAAACATTTCTTAATTTTATCAGAAACATAAAATTGTGCTTAAGTTTCAATTTTTGTTACTGACCTCTTTATTACCACAGTCACATTCTTCATTGGATTCCAAAATCCCATTACCACACACGGGTTGGTTTTGATGTAATGGTTGCAAATTTGAAAACTTCTGAAGGCATTTAACCTCAAATTTTGAAACAAAATATCTGTAGTCTTGCATGCTGCAGTTGCTAAAAATCTTTATACCGCTGGCACTCCTAAAATAAAATAATATTCTTCAGGCAAATAAACCTTGCGAATAAAACCACATCTAGATAACACTCCAAACGTAATCATGCAAATCACAAGATAGCCACCCCATATCCTATACCTTAGCAGAGATTAATCTAACCATAATTAAATTTTAATTTCAATGTTGCTTATCTTTAACATTCTTTAAGAAAAATGCATTGAAAACCTATTTTTCCCATCAAAGTAATGCAATAAGTTATGGTGGTTAAATCTGTGTATCTACAGATCTATGCATTTACATATCTCTATCTCTGTATCTAACCATCTATCTATTGTTCCCTCTACACAGTGTGTTGCTCTTTTGTTGTATAGTTCAAGCTTTCTTCCTTCATTTCAGTCAGACGTCTGCTCAAATGTTACTTCCCAGAGATATCTGTCTTGACAGCACTATTTTCAATTGTGTCCCCTCTTCATTCTCCTTCCACTTTCAATATTTTTCTACATAGCACTTTTGCATTATGTAAAAACTTCATTAATTTTTATTTTCAAAACTTTATCTTATATTACCCAAACTATATACTAAAATATAAGTCTGGGGAGATCTTTATTTACATGTTCACAGGTATATTTCTACTATAATATCCAGGAGAAAAGTCTAACAGATGTAACAGACATTTCAAATATACAGTCTGTGATACTGAACTACTTATCACAACCATGTCTGTCTTCAGTTGCTGAATACCGCATTCTTTCAGTTGCTAAGGCTAACACTGGGGTGACCCTGGACTCTGTTCTTTCTCTCACAATCCATACCCAATGCAAATACACATACATGTTAGACTATAACATAACCAATTCACAATTTTTATTTTGGTTACTTGTTAAAGTGATAATATTTTGGATTTATTGGGTTACATAAGCTATATCATTAAAATATATTATCGCAATTAATTTCATCTGATTCTTTTAATTGTTAAAGCTTCTAGAAAATTAAAAATTACATATATGACTCAAATTTTATTTCTATTGGACAGCACCATATTAGACAATTATGTATTAGAGGGCACTATACCACTATGTTAGACAATCATGTCTGAGATAGCAATACTTAAACAGCAAAATCTGAGATGACAGGTTCGGAGTAGTCCTCTGAGCCTCCAAGGAAAGAAATGCACAGCTACTAAAGTGTCAGAGTTGGAAGTTTAAGAGAAAACAGAAATGCTTTAGCTTATATTAACAGCCATTTGGTGTGGAGCAAACATGAAAAAGTAAGAGAAATATTACACAGAATAATGTTATTTAATCAAATTCTCGCTACTATTTTAAAATACTGTGTTTTAATAGGAATAAGTATCATCAGACTTTTGCAAGACACTGTCATGCAAAAAGCTACAAATATTGGGCACCAAAATCGCTTTACACAAAGTTAGTGTACAAATAAATAGGTACTCAGAAGTTATCTTCTACTTGGAGCATACAATTTTCAACTGAAAATTATAAGTATTGTTTACAAAATGAGATTTTTGTTTAAGATGAGTACAAAACAATTAAGTTTTGAAACTTCTACTTAAAAATTGGACATGACAAAAAAGAATATGAATGTGGTGTCAGTGGGGTGTGTGTATAGATATAGATCAATCTGTAGTATATATCCCTAAGTATACAGAATTTTTGTGTGATATCTCTTCAAGTGTGATATACCTCTCTAGCCATTTGTGTTGTATTGCAAATAAAAGTTTAAAAACTTTATTGCGTTTTGGAAACAGCCTTATAAAAATATAAGTAAAATTAATTAAGAAAACATCTTACACCGCTTCTTGATTCATGATGCATGTAGCTCTCATACAGGAACACTGAGTGACATCGTCATATGTTAATCCTACATTAAGGCCAAGCAGTTGAGCTATAATAACGGAAAATCCCTCCAAACTTATAGCATCTGTATACTAAAATAAAGGACATTAAAGAGAAAAATATTATGTGTGAAAACAAAAGGAAGTAATAACTTGAAATATTTTTGCTCCTATCATATTTTCTATTTTAAATACTTCTTATGTTGAGCATACTTCACAAAAATTATTTTGGTATGCTACTTATTTATCCGCCATAATTGATTAAAAAGCATGAAACAATCAAACTGTGATATTCTCTGATTTTAAATTTTGCATGCTAAAATTCTGTAGCTTTGAACACGTGGTATTTATAATGCAATGAAACAAATTTATTTCACTTCATTAATTCATTCAATTAATAGATAACAACTCAGGGTACTCATGTGTCAGACATTGTGACAGATGATAGGAATATAATGGCATGTGTGAAAGGAAAATACTTTGTTCACATCTATAGCTTATATTATAGAAGAGGAGAAAGACAACAGTAATCTGCAATAAGCTTTCTATATAAAAATAGATTGTTACACATGCTCTTAAGAAAATAAGGTATTCCAGTAGAAAATTTTATGGAGGAGTATAAAATAAGGTTAAATAAGGTAGTTATAACATCTTCTTTGTGGAATTGATATTTAGGCTGAGACATAAAGTATGGAAAGTGACCCAACAATATGCGTATGTATGGGGGCCTGAATGGAGACCTAGTGGCTTAGGCCTGTAATCCCAGCATTTTGGGAAGCCAAGACAGGAGGATTGCTTGAGGCCAGGAATTCAAGACCAGCCTGGGCAACATAGTGAGACTCCGTTTCTACAAAAAAAAAAATTTAAAAATAGCCAGCAAGGTGATGCACACCTGCAGTCCCAGCTACTCATGAGAAGTCAAGGATGACTTGAGCCTTGGAGTTTGGGGTTGCAGTGAGCTATGATTGCACCACTGTACTCCATCCTCAGCTACAGAGTGAGACTCTGTCTCAAAGACAAGGAGAAAACAAAAAATAAATTTGAAGAGAAGAGAAAATATTAAAAAATTGTTGCTAACAGTATGGACTTGAAGTATATTTCATATTATCTATCTTTGATAAATAAATATTGATATGTTTCTTAGCTTTTAATTGTTACAAGCAAAAATCTGAGAACACGTCTAATTTTTCTATATCAATTTAAATTTATAACTAGAAAATGTATATAATGCATATCTAAAAGACAAACAAGATTGTGTACATGTTTGTATGTATGTGACTGAAAACAGAGATTTAGCAATATGAAAAAATAAACTAATAAATATCCTTTCCTATTACCCTGTAATAAACATGGTTAAAAGTCACAGTGTCAGAATTGGAAAGAAGTTGAAGCCAAAACAGAATATGAGGCATGATATCTAGGCTAGTCATCAAGTTTTGGGGCAAGATATAAGAACCAAAAGCTAGACTTTTGATACTTGATCAGAGAGGGAAATATGGTTTTGCACTTTCAATATAAATGGTGTTCTTATTAAAAGAAGGTATTTAGATACAGTGACAGAGACAAAGAAAGAACTTCATGTGAACGGAATGGTAAAAATTGGGGTATTGTATCCATAAGCCAAGAAATGCCAAAGATTGCTAGTAAACCAATAGAAGCTAGGGCAAAGGCAGAAGAGAGATTATCATTCACAGCCCTCAAGAGGAACAACTCTGTTCGTCTTGATTTCAGAATGCTATTTTTTTTTAAATTTTTTATTGGATTTTAGGTTTTGGGGTACATGAGCAGAGCATGCAGGACAGTTGCGTAGGAACACACATGGCAGTGTGCTTTTCTTTCCTTCTCCCCTTCACCCACATTTGGCATTTCTCCCCAGGCTATACCTCCCCACCTCCCCCTCCCACTGGCCCTCCCCTTTCCCCCCCAATAGACCCCAGTGTTTATCCAGAACTGTGAAGCAATACATTTCTGTTGATTAAAGGCTTAGTTTGTGGTATTTTGTTATGGCAGTCCTGGAAATCTAATACAGTCCCCCAAATATAACCCAATGCAATATATCATAAAAGTGCCCGAGGCATGGGGAAAATACATTATATAGTGAGGAACAAAAGTAGAATTACAGCAAAGTTCTCATCAGAACAGTGTAAAAGAGAAAACAGGAGGAAAACCTCCTTAAAACTAGCACTAGATAAGGATGCCCTCTTTCACCACTTGTATTCAAAATACTATTGAAGGGTCTAGAAAGGCAATCAGGCAAGAGAAAAAAGGTATCTAAAGAGGAAGTCAAGCTATCCCTGTTTTCAGATAACATGATACTATATCTAGAAACCCCACAATCTCGTTCCAAATGCTTCTTAAACTGATAAACAATTTCAGCAAAGTTTTAGGATACAAAAATCAATATGCCAAAATCACTAGCATTCCTATACACCAATAGTAGTCAAGAGGCAAGTCATAAATGGGCTCATTTTCTCAATTGTCACAAAAGGAAGAAAATACCTAGGATACAGCTAACTAGGTAGGTGAAAGATCTCTACAAGAAGAGCCACAAACCACTGTTCAAAGAAATCAGAGATGATACAAACAAATGGAAAAACATCCCATGTTTATGGATAGAAAGAATCAATATTAAAATGGTCATGCTGCCCAAAGCAGTTTATAGATTCAATACTATTCCTATTAAACTATCATTAACATTCTTCACAGTACAGGAGAAAATGATCTTAAAATTCATATGGAACCAAAAAAGAGACTAAATTGCAAGGCAATCATAAGCAAAACAAACAAACAAAATACAAAAATGAAAAAAAACAAACAAAAAACCAAAGCTGAAGGCATCATGCTTGCTCCCTGACTTCAAACTGTACTACAGGGCTACAGTAACCAAAACAGCATGGTACTGATAAAAAAAAACTGACACCTAGACATATGGAACAGAATAGAGACCCCAGAAATAAGACCACAGGACTACAACTATCTCATCTTCAACAAACCAAACAAAAACAAGCAAAGGGGAAAGAATTCTCTATTTAATAAATGGTACTGAGATAACTAACTAGCCATATGCAGAAGAATAAAATTGGACCCCCTCTTTACACCACATACAAAAATTAACTCAAGATGGATTAAAGAGTTAAATGTAAAATCCAAAACTGTAAAAACCCTGGAAGACAAGCTAGGCAGTACTATTCAAGACATAGGCAGGGGCAAAGATTCATAATAAAGATGCCACAGCAAGAAGACAAACACCAATAACTCCATAAATATTGGGCAAAGGAAATGAACAGGCAATTTTCAAAAGAACAAAGAAAAAAAGCTCAACATCCCTGATCATTAGAGAAATGCAAATCAAAATCATAATATCATCTCACACCAGTAAGAGTGGCTATTATTAAAAAGTCAAAAAATAATAGATGCTGGTGAAGTTTTGGAGAAAGAGAAACACTTATATGCTGTTGGTAGAAATGTAAATTAGTTCAGACATTGTGAAAAACAGTGTGGTGTTTCCTTAAAGACCCAAAGACAGGAATACCATTAGACCCAGCAATTTCATTACCAGGTATATACCTAAAGGAATATAAATCATTCTAAATACCATGCAGCCATAAAAAAGAAGGAGATTATGTCCTTTGCAGGGACATGGATGGAGCTGGAGGCCATTATCCTTAGCAAACTAACACAGGAACAAAAAATTAAATGCCACATATTCTCACTTACAAGTGGGAGCTAAATGATAAGAACACATGGACACATAGAAGGGAACAATACACACTGAGGCCTATCAGAGGATGGAGATGATCAGGAAGAATAACTAATGGGTACTAGACTTAATACCTGGGTAATGAAATAATATATAGAATAAGGCTACAGTAACTAAAGCAGCATGGTAGTGTTACAAGAACAGACACATAGACCAATACAACAGAACCCAGAAATAAGACGACACACCTACAACCATCCGATCTAACAAAACCAAGCAATGAGTAAAGGATTGCCTATTTAACAAATAGGAGAACTGGCTAGCCATATGCAGAAGAATGAAACAGGACCCCTTCCTCACATCATATACAAAAATTAACTCAAGATGTATTAAAGACGTAAATGTAAAACTCAGAGCTAAAAAACCCTGGAAGACAAGCTAGGCAGTACCATTCAGGATATAGGCATTGGCAATAATTTCATGAGAAAGATGCCAAAAGCAATTGCAACAAAACCAAAAATTGACAAATGGGATCTAATTAAACTAAAAAACTTTTGCACAGCAAAAGAAATGATCAACAGAGTAAACAGACAACCTACAGAATGGCAGAAAATTTCTGCAATCTATGCATCTGGCAAAGGTCTCCTATCCAGTACCTACAAGGAACACAAATAAATTTACAAGAAAAAAAATTATAAAGTGGGTAAAGGACATAAACAGACACTTCTCATAAGAAGACATATATGGGGCCAAGAAACATGAAAAAGAGTTCAACATCATTGGTCATTAGAGAAATGCAAGTCAAAACCACAATGAGATAGTGTCTTTTATCAGTCAGAATGGCTACTATTAAAAAGTCAATAAACAACAAATGCTGGCAAGGTTGTGAAGAAAAAGAAACACTTTTACACTGTTCACATGAGTGTAAATTAGTTCAACCTTTCTGGAAGAGTGTGGCAATTCCTTAAAGACAATTTTCAAAAGAACAAAGAAAAAAAGCTCAACATCCCTGATCATTAGAGAAATGCAAATCAAAATCATAATATCATCTCACACCAGTAAGAGTGGCTATTATTAAAAAGTCGAAAAATAATAGATGCTGGTGAAGTTTTGGAGAAAGAGAAACACTTATACGCTGTTGGTAGGAATGTAAATTAGTTGAGCCATTGTGAAAAACAGTGCGGTGTTTCCTCAAAGACCCAAAGACAGGAATACCATTAGACCCAGCAATTTCATTACCAGGTATATACCTAAAGGAATATAAATCATTCTAAATACCATGCAGCAGAAATACCACTTGACTTATGAATCCCATTACTGAGTATATACCCGAAGGAATAGAAGTCATTATGTAATAAAGACACATGCACACAAATATTTATTGCAGCACTCGTCACAATAGCAAAGACATGGAATCAACCTAAATGGCCATCCCGGATAGACCGGATAAAGAAAATGCGGTACATATACATGATGGAATACTATGCAGTCATAAAAGAAATGAGACTATGTCCTTTGCAGGGACACAGATGGAAATGGAAGACATTCCTGCAAACTAATGCAGGAATGGAAAATCAAATACCACATATTCTCACTTATAAGTGGGAGCTGAATGATAACACATAGACACATGGGGGGACAACACACACTGGAGCCTGTTAAAGGTTGGAGAGTGGGAGATGGGAAAGGATCAGGAAAAGTAGCTAAAGGATGCTGGGCTTAATATCTAGGAGATGGAATGATATGTACAGCTAAACAGCATGGCACACTTTCAACTAGGTAACAAACCTGCACATCCTGTACATGTACCCCTGAACTTAAAAGTTGGAATAAGGCCGAGTGTGGTGGCACACGCCTGAAATCCCAGAACTCTGGGAGGTCGAAGTGGGTGGATCACAAGATCAGGAGATCCAGACCAGCCTGGCCAACATGGTGAAACCCCGTCTCTACTAAAACACAAAAAATTAGCCGGGCGTGGTGGTGCATACCTATAGTCCCAGCTACTCAGGAGGCTGAGGCAGAAGAATTGCTTGAACCTGGGAGGAGGAGGTTACACTTAGTTGAGATCTCGCCACTGTACTCCAGCCTGGTGTCAGAGCAAGACTCCATCTCAAAACAACAAAAGTTGGAATAAAAAATAAAATAATTTAAAATTTTTTCTATCACACAATTTACTTCCCACCTTTCTTGTCAGTAAGTATAGAAGCTCACTTCTAAAAAAAATGAGCAAAATATAAAAGAGGGATACACATAACACAAAGGAAACAAGATTGAAAGTTCGCAAACCCTATTTAGGCAACAGGTCTAATATAGATTGGCACCAGACAATTTCTGCAGACAATTTCTGCAGAATGTCTCCAGGAAAGGAAAGAGGAACTTCTGAAATGAGGAGAAAACTAGAAACTTCTAACTTCAATAATGGGAAGCCAATAGATAATACTCATATTTTAATAGTCAGAATACTTCATGGGCATATATTTTAGCACTGGTAAAAGAATGAACAAACTATTCCTACCCATAAAAACATAAATATAAGTATGATTCATAAGTACCTTCTCAAGTGTTAATAAGATTCTGACTTTGCAAATATATAAAGTTTTAAACTAGATAATATCTAATAGCTCTACAAAATACTAAAATCATTGACTTGAATTAATTCACTTTAATACCAATGCAATTTCCTTGTGTAGCTCTTAAAATGGATATAATTTCATTAGCTCAAATCCAGCTTTGTTTGGTTACCAAAAGTTAAAGAGAAAATATTTTTTAATTTGTGAAAGAAGCAATCTTACCAGTCCTAAAGATAAGCATTTTTAAAAACTTAATAGTTTTTTAAAAACCAAATCACTCCTAGTAAAAAGTAGACATGAAATATATTAACTTATCATGGATAATTTTAACTGAATGGTCTCCATTTTTACATCATTCATATCATAATATTGAGCAAAATAGAGCACACAAGAATACACATTGTGTTCTGCTTACGTAAACTTCAAAAAGAAGTAAAATTAAATTTCCTTTGGTATGGGTGGTAGGTGGGAGGACGCATGATTCATAAGTACTTTCTGAAGGGTTGATAGCATTCTATTTCTTGATTTTTGTGGTGTTTACACCTATGTAGAAACTTGATAAAAGTTAATTGTGCTATATACTTTGACTTGTGGAATCTTCTCTATCTACTATATTTTGTACTTCAGTAAAACTTCTCTTTAAAAAGAAATTAACATGGAGTTATATGGTTGCAAAGAAGAAATTTTTTAATTGAGAAAAATGATTTAGGGGTTGTAGATTATGCAGGAAACAGTTTTATCAATATACAAATTTTCAGTATCTAAAAACAATATATATTATTTATACATACATATATTTATTAAGACAGCATAAAGTATGTGTAAAATTGCAAGCGCAAATTTGTAATTTTTGCTATTTATTGAACTTGGAGCAAATGTGCAAGAGGTTTTAACATTGCTCTAATGCTTTATTTATTTAAAAATCCAAAGCAAATGTTCATGTCCATTATGACCAGTTGGTGAGTGGTTACACTAAGGTTTGTTCACATAATATTCTCTGTGTTCAAACTTTATAAATAAATAAACTTTCTGAGATTCTAATAATTTTATCCCAATGAAATCATAATGAATATACACATACAGAAAAAGATCAAGGGGTTATACACTATTTAACCATTTAAATTAATACTTACATAACATCACATAAGGCTTAAAAACAGTGACATAAAGAAGAATAAAAATTACATACCATAACAATGCCTGCATCGTAGCTTTTATTGCATATCGTGCCTGGAAATGTTGCTCCCACATATTTAGGATGTTTCCTGTAACTACATTATGATAATATTGTCTTTTTATTAACATAGTTATGCAAAAAAATCATAAACTTATTTATTAAATTAAACCTTTTTATAAAATTTTAGAAATGACTTTGCAAATATATAAAATTTCAAACTAGATAATATCTAATAGCTATACAAAATGCTAAAATCATTGACTTGAATTAATTCACTTTAATACCAATGCAATTTCCTTGTGTAACTTAAAATGGATACAATTTCGTTAGCTCAAATCCAGCTTTGTTTGGTTACCAAAAGTTAAAGAGAAAATAATTTTCAATTTGTGGAAGAAGTAATCTTATCAGTCCCAAAGATAAGCGTTTTTTAAAACGAAATATTAAAAAAAAACCCAAATCACTCCTAGTAAAAAGTAGACATGAAATGCATTAACTTATCATAGATAATTTTAACTGAATGGTCTCCATTTTTATGTCATTCATGAACTAAGGCTTACATGTTTTCTAGTAAAACATGTAGTAAAGTCAATATCATAGAAGTTCATGAAATGCAAATTTAAAAAATATTATACTCCAAAATATTCTAATACAAAACTATTTATTGTACTTTTTATTATACATTTAAGTACACTAGCACCTCCACAGCAAGGCTACTTTTTTGTTTTGTTTTATTTTAGTTTATTATTTTATTTTTGAGACAGAGTTTTGCTCTCATTGCCCAGGCTGGAGTGCAATGGCGTGATTTCGGCTCACTGCAACCTCCGCCTTCCTGGTTCAAGCAATTCTCCTGCCTCAGCCTCCTGAGTAGCTGGGATTACAAGCATGCACCACCATGCCTGGCTAATTTTTGTATTTTTAGTAGTGAAGGGGTTTCTCCATTTTGGTCACGGTGGTCTTGAACTCCCAGCCTCTAGTTATCTGCCTGACTCGGCCTCCCAGTGCTGGGATTACAGGCGTGAGCCTCTGCACCGGGCTAAGGCTACTTATTTTTAAGTATTTTCAAAGGGGTTTAAGGAAAGTTAAAGAACACAATAAATTCACTAAGTTACCAATTTAAAATGATTATATATGCAGATATCTTTATTAATGTAGAACATTGTGCTTACACAAGTAAGTATGCTACGTCATGGGGCCGTAGGATAAGATAGTCCTGTTTCCATGCCAAAAATCTTTGTAATATATCATCAGCATTCCCACTGGTGGAAATCTGGTTTTCATTTGACCATAATTCCAAGGAAGACAGTATAACAGTCAATTTGAACTGGGTAAACATCTAAAAGTAAGATTTATGGTACATTTTTAAAGTAACAAATTATTACATTTAAAAAGTACATTCAAAAATTGAGAAAATGTTCCAGTATTTTGAGTATTAAACTAATAAAAGTAGTTGTTATTAATTTGCCAAGATAGAATCCAAATTATATTAAATAAACTTTCTGAAAATGGAAATGTGAAAAAGTAAAAACTTACTGTGTTGACAAGCCCAATAACCTGGGCAATTTTTTGTGTTACAGTCATCATTTCAGATCCCATGTAATCATACTGAAAAAGAAATTTGATTTTTTATGAAAGTATCATTTTGAATCCAAGTGAATGCAATGATGTTTAGGCATTGTATTAGATATTATAAGTAATCTAGAGCTGTTTTAAAGTACATAGGAGAATGTGTGTAGGCTTGAGCAAATTCTAAGCTATTTTATATAAGGGACTTAAGTATTTATGGATTATGTATTACATATATACATATATATTATACACACACAGAAATATTATTAAGCCTTCAAAATGGTTATTCTGTCATTTGTGACAACATGGGTGAACCTGGAGGGCATTATAATTGAAATAAGCCAGATACAGAACAGAAAATACTACATGACCTCACTTATATGTGGTATCTAAACAAAACAAAACAAATATATTCAAATACATAGAAACAAAGTGAAAAGGTGGCTGCCAAAAGGCAGAGGGCAGAGTGTTGGGAGAAATGTGGAAATGGCATTCATAGGATACAAAGTTTGGGTTATGTAGAATAAATAAGTGAGAAACCTAATGTACAACATGAGAGCTACAAGCAACAATATTGCTTTATATACTGGAAATTTGCTAAGGTAGATTTTAGGTGCTTTTACCACAAAAATGTAACACTGTGTATACAAAAACATCCTGATGTAGACATCTTAAATATATATACTTAAAAAAAGTAAAAAGAGAGAAGATGTGAATTGCCAATATCAGGAATGAAAGAGGATTATGATAAATAAAAGGGTGATAATAAAGTATAAAATAGCTTACTACATTTTAATACATTTGAAAATATTATTTAAAATGTCATTTGCCAAAATAACCAAAGGTAAAGTTCAAAGGCTATATAATCACATAACTATTAAAGTGGATTCTGTAATTTTAAACCTTCCCATAAAAGAAATATGAGGTTCAAAGGATTATAAGGGTTAATTGTTGGGCAGGTGCAGTGGCTCATGCCTATAACCCTAGCACTTTTGGAGACTGAGACTTGGACAACATGGTGAGACTTCATCTCTATAAAAATTGAAAAAGAAATTATCCAGCCATTGTGGTGTGTGCCTGTAGTCCCAGCTACTCAGAAGGCTGAGCCAGGAGGATTGGTTTAGGCCAGGAGTTTGAGATTGCAGTGAGGTATGATTTTGTCAATACACTCCAGGCTGCACAACAGAGTGATGCCCTGTCTCTCTCTCTGAAAAAGAAGAGTTAATTGTTACAGATATTTAAATAATATGTAAAGAAGAAGTAAAGGCATTTGTACAGAAATCATTCAGAAGATAGGAAAAGGGCAGACATTCTGTTTTATGAAAGCAACACTAACAACAGCTTAACAAGAAAGGGTCTTTTTTGATCTGAGAAACATTTCTATGAAGAAACTGGCACGTATTCTCCAATAGCGCCAAGGTACATGAAAGACAAATATCATAGTACTGCCACAGATTGGAGGAGAAAAAAGAGACATGTCAACTCAATGGAATGTAGGATCTTATAATTGTGGACTAAATTAGGAAAAAGTCATTTATGAGAAAAATGTCAAAATTTTTTTAGTTGATAATAATGTAGACACATTAGCTTTTATGTTTTGATTACTATATTATGATTATATAAGATGTTAACTTAGGATAAGTTATGGAAAAAATATATGGGAACATTTTACTGTTTCTTAACTTCCATGTAACTCTAAAGTTCTTTCAAAATAATAAGTTTAAAATAATAAAATTCAGCTAAAGAGCAAAGGGGAATATCCCACCAATATCATTAGTGAACATTTGAAATGGTGATGCTACAAATTTACCAATTTTTAAAAGTTAAAAAGAATGTATTACAAATTCATTCTAAGAAATTTGATAATTGCCTCATGCCTTAAAGCCATAATATTGGCCATTATGTTTCAATACCTGAATTATGAAGAGGATACATTCAAATCATAACAATCAAACATGTAGAAACTAAAACAAGTTTAAAGAAAATCTAAACTTTCCTATGTATATCAAATAAATTTAATGTGTACTTTAAAATATTCCCTCAAAGAAAACTTAAGGTCTACAGGGTTTCAGAGTATTTTCCAACTATATGTGGAAAGGGTCATATTCATAATACCTAAATTCTTGAACAGATTATAATAAGAAGAAAACTCACTAACTTATTTGATGAGGCCAGGATAATCTTGATAACAAGGGGAAAAATCATTATAAGAAAGGAATATAACATACCATTGTTTCATGAACATAAACCCTAAAATCAAAATCAAAATATTAAATAAAAGATCCAGTTATTTGTAAAAATTGACAAAACTGTAATAAATAAGTGTGATGTATTTTTAGAAACACAAGTATGGTTCTCTACAACCATTGATCATCTCTGTAAGAGCAGGAAAAAAAATTGATGAAAAACAGCTATCCATGATAAAAATCTTGGAAAACAGGGAATATAAGGGAACCTTCTCAATATTACGAAGATCACCTACCAAAAACTAAGAGCTAATATGAAAATTAGAATGGTTAATCTGTAAGTTAGGAAAAAATTTAGAAATATATACATCAGTCTATTTAACACTGTACTTCAGAGTCAAGCTAGGACAATAAAAGAATAAAATGAAATAAAAGTAAAATAAATAGATAAAAATACATGTATACAGAAATAGCAAAAAAGGGGATAAAAATTGGAAAAGAAAAATTAAAATGTCATTATTCACAAGTAATATGATTGTGTACATAGAACAATAAAAAATCTACAAAAAATGAAACAATAATTAACAAGTAAATTAGGCAAAAATCACAAGATATAAGATGAATACATGAAACTCAACTATGTTTTTATAAACCAGAGCAAAAATACTTAAATGTTAAATTAAAAATACCATTTACTAGAGCATCACAAAATCATCAAATGCATAACAATAAAACTAATAAAGATGTCAAGAACACTATAGAACGCTGATGAAAGAAATTAACAAAAAATGTAAAGATGTGTGTGTGTGAGGAGGTTTTCCTTATTCATAGATCGAATGACTCAATATTATTAAGATCACAGTTCTTTCCAAAGTGAGCTAACCATTCAATGTAATTCCAAAATCCAAATTACAGAATTTTTGTAAAAATTTAGAGGGTGATTCTAAAATGGATTTAAATAAAAGGGACCCAGAATAGTCAAAACAATAATTAGGATTACTAAAAGGACAAAGCCAAATAAATTATATAACAATAAAGCTATAGTAATGAACACAGTGAATTATTAATTCAATAAAACAGAAATAGGGCAATGGAAGTGAGCAGTAACATAAGAAATAGGTCACACACAATTCTGCTACATAATTTTTTTAAATTGCTAACACAATTGAATGGAGTAAGAGATATTTTCCACAAGTGGAGATGAAGCAAAAGGTGCCTATATGGAAAAAAGACACTCTTTACTCCCTGCTCACAGCATACACATTCCTCAATTAGAAATATACTGTCATTTTTTTTCTTTTATTTATTTTTTCTTTTTTATTGCATTTTAGGTTTTGGGGTACATGTGGAGAACATGCAAGACAGTTGCATAGGTACACACATGGCAGTGTGTTTTGCTGCCTTCCTCCCACATTTGGCATTTCTCCCCAGGCTATCCCTCCCCAGCTCCCCCGCCTATGCCCCCCAATAGACCCCAGTGTTTAGTACTCCCTTCCCCATGTCCATGTGTTCTCATTTTTTATCACCCGCCTATGAGTGAGAATACGTGGTATTTCATTTTCTGTTCTTGTGTCAGTTTGCTGAGAATGATGTTCTCCAGATACATCCATGTCCCTACAAATGACACGAACTCATCATTCTTGATTGCTGCATAATATTCCATGGTGTATATGTGCCACATTTTCCCAATCCAGTCTATCATCGATGGGCATTTGGGTTGGTTCCAGGTCTTTGCTATTGTAAACAGTGCTGCAATGAACATTCGTGTACATGTGTCCTTACAGTAGAACGATTTATAGTCCTTTGGGTATATACCCAGTAATGGGATTGCTGGGTCAAATGGAATTTCTATTTCTAAGGCCTTGAGGAATCACCACACTGTCTTCCACAATGGTTGAACTAACTTACACTCCCACCAACAGTGTAAAACTGTTCCTATTGGGCCGGGTGTGGTGGCTCAAACCTGTAATCCCAGCACTTTGGGAGGCCAAGGCGGGTGGATCACGAGGTCAAAAGATTGAGACCATCCTGGTCGACATGGTGAAACCCCGTCTCTATTAAAAATACAAAAAAATTAGCTGGGCATGGTGGCACGTGCCTGTAATCCCAGCTACTCAGGAGGCTGAGGCAGGAGAATTGCCTGAACCCAGGAGGCGGAGGTTGCGGTGAGCCGATATCGCACCATTGCACTCCAGCCTGGGTAATGAGCGAAATTTCGTCTCATAAAAAAAAAAAAAAAAAAGTGTTCCTATTTCTCCACATCCTCTCCAGCATCTGTTGTCTCCAGATTTTTTAATGATCGCCATTCTAACTGGCGTGAGATGGTATCTCAATGTGGTTTTGATTTGCATCTCTCTAATGACCAGTGATGATGAGCATTTTTTCATATGTTTGTTGGCCTCATGTATGTCTTCTTTTGTAAACTGTCTGTTCATATTCTTTGCCCATTTTTGAATGGGCTTGTTTGTTTTTTTCCTGTAAATCTGTTTGAGTTCTTTGTAAATTCTGGATATCAGCCCTTTGTCAGATGGGTACACTGCAAAAATTTTTTCCCATTCTTTTGGTTGCCGATTCACTCTAGTGACTGTTTCTTTTGCCGTGCAGAAGCTGCGGAGTTTCATTAGGTCCCATTTGTCTATTTTGGCTTTTGTTGCCAATGCTTTTGGTGTTTTGTTCATGAAGTCCTTGCCTACTCCTATGTCCTGAATGGTTTTGCCTAGATTTTCTTCTAGGGTTTTTATGGTGCCAGGTCTTATGTTTAAGTCTTTAATCCATCTGTAGTTAAACTTATTTTAAAGGGTGAAGAAAAAAACATAAAATAATATGGAAGTAAAATTATGTCCTTGGAATAAGAAAATATTTCTTAAATTGAAAACAAAAGAAATTTATGTCAAAAAACATACAATGGACTTAAATTAACTGTGATTCAGTGTGTAGGTCTATCAAAAGACATCATTAAATGAATATAAATATAAGACAGAGACTGGTAGAAAATACGGCTATCTGAAAAAGGCCTCATATTTGGAATACGTAAGGAATTCCCACAAAATAGTAAGAAAACTATTAAAATGGAGAACAGCTTATACATTTACTCTGAAAACTATCCAAATGGTAAACAATGGTATGAAAATATGCTCAACTTCAGTCATGTGTTAAATGCACCTAAAACCACAATATGATATCATTATATATCCACTAGAATGGCTGAGATTTTTTAAAGTTTATAAATTCTAATCATTTGTAATGGTATAGAACCCCTGGACCTTTCATACATTGCTGAAAGCACAGGAAATTATTATAACAACTTTTTACCTGTTTACCAATATTGTCTAAAGGTAACATACCAATCCCATGATATAACAATTTTGCTCATAGGCAGATACCAAATAAATTGTGTCTACCAGAAGACATGAACAAGATTGGTTATAATACTTTTATTCATAATGGCACCAAATTGTATTCTTCACAATAGTATACAAGAAATAAACTACTGTTATGGGGAAAAACAGGAGTAAATCTTGAAGACATTATAATCAACAAAATAACACAGATGCTGTAGAACAGATAATCTACAATTTACACTTTTGTATCTATCTAATTGTATTGTATTTATCTGATAAATATTAGCCATTCATCTAAATATCTATTCTATGAAGCCTTTCCTTAACAATTCCTGGCCAGGCACTGTGGCTCACACCTGTAATCCTAGCAATTTGGGAGGCTGAGGCAGGTGAATTACTACTAGGTCAGGAGTTCAAGACCAACCTGGCCAACATAGCGAAACCCTATCTCTACTAAAAATACAAAAAATTAGCTGGGTGTGGTGGTGTGCATTTGTTATCCCAGCTACTTGAGAGGCTGAGGCAGGAAAATCATGTGAACCTGGGAGATGGAGGTTGCAGTGAGCCAAGATCATGCCATGCACTCCAGCCTGGGCAACAGAGCAAAAGATGGTCTCAAAAAAAAAAAAAAAGAAACAATTTCTACATCTTTCTCAATTTCATCCTGTAATTTTGTGCATGTATATATTTATATATATATATGCATATACAAAACATATTACATATATTCATATATAATGTATGTAGTGCATCATAATTATTTGATTACATATCTGTCTTTTCCATCAAAATGTGAATTCTTGAAAGTAGAATATCTAGTGATTAATCTGTGCTTTGCATTTAGTAAATACATAATGGTAATAATTTTAAAAATAAATATATATTTAAAACCAGAGGTGTATTTATTCAAAAACTATGCTAAAATATATCTTAAGAATAATAAACAAAAACCATAAATACTGCTATTATTGAAGTGAAATTTCTGTTAGAAATAAAGGTTTTGAAATGACGTGAAAGCAAAGAACTGAGTTAGTTGAAAATGTTGGATAAAAGGATGGGTCATTAGGGGTTAAAGTCAAAGAGATACTGACTGAGCCAGAGTGGAGGAAGCAAATAGTGTAAAACATTCTAGGTTAATTTGGGCTGTTATTCAGAATTGGGTTTAAAACATCACAATTGTTGATTTATCTAACACACCAAAACAAAATATCTTTATTTTAAAATATTAAGAAAATTTTTGGCCAGGCACGGTGGCACACGCCTGTAATCCAAGCACTTTGGGAAGCCCGGTGAGTGGATCACCTGAGGTCAGGAGTTCAAGACCAGCCTGGCCATCATGGTGAAACCCCATCTAATATCTACAACCATACAATCTTAGATAAACCCGACAAAAACAAGCAATGGGGAAAGGATTCCCTGTTCAACAAATGGTGCTGGGAAAACTGGCTAGCCATGTGCAGAAAGCAGAAACTGGACCCCTTCCTGACACCTTACACTAAAATTAACTCCAGATGGATTAAAGACTTAAACATAAGACCTGGCACCATAAAAACCCTAGAAGGAAATCTAGGCAAAACCATCCAGGACATAGGAGTAGGCAAGGACTTCATGAACAAAACACCAAGAGCATTGGCAACAAAAGCCAAAATAGACAAATGGGACCTAATGAAACTCCACAGCTTCTGCACAGCAAAAGAAACAGTCTCTAGAGTGAATCGGCAACCAACAGAATGGAAAAAAATTTTTGCAGTATACCCATCTGACAAAGGGCTGATATCCAGAATTTACAAAGAACTCAAACAGATTTACAGGAAAAAAACAAACAAGCCCATTCAAAAGTGGGCAAGGATATGAACAGAAACTTTATGAAAGAAGACATATATGAGGCCAACAATCATATGAAAAAATGCTCATCGTCACTGGTCATCAGAGAGATGCAAATCAAAACCACATTGAGATACCATCTCATGCCAGTTAGAATGGCGATCATTAAAAAATCTGGAGACAACAGATGCTGGAGAGGATGTGGAGAAAAAGGAACACTTTTACACTGTTGGTGGGAGTGTAAATTAGTTCAACCATTGTGGAAGACAGTGTGGCAATTCCTCAAGGCCTTAGAAATAGAAATTCCATTTGACCCAGCAATCCCATTACCAGGTATATATCCAAAGGACTATAAATCGTTCTACTGTAAGGACACATGCACACGAATGTTCATTGCAGCACTGTTTACAATAGCAAAGACCTGGAATCAACCCAAATGCCCTTTGACGATAGACTGGATTGGGAAAATGTGGCACATATACATCATGGAATATTATGCAGCAATCAGAAATGATGAATTCGTGTCATTTGTAGGGACATGGATGAATCTGGAGAACATGATTCTCAGCAAACTGACACGAACAGAAAATGAAACACCACATATTCTCACTCATAGGCGGGTGATGAAAAATGAGAACACATGGACACAGAGAGGGGAGTACTAAACACTGGGGTCTATTGGGGGGAAAAGGGGAGGGCCAGTGGGAGGGGGAGGTGGGAGGGATAGCCTGGGGAGAAATGCCAAATGTGGGTGAAGGGGAAAAAGCAAACAAACCACACTGCCATGTGTGTACCTATGCAACTGTATTGCATGCTCTGCACATGTACCCCAAAACCTAAAATGCAATACAACATAAAATAAAATAAATAAAATAAAATTTTTATGTCTTTAAAATTAAAACAAAACTTTCACTAACTTATAGAAAGAAAGATAAGTGAAAGAAAAAGGAAAGGAGGGAGGGAGGAAGGCAGAAAGGGAGGGTGAGAGGAAAAGGAAAAAAGGAAGGAAGGAAGGAAGAGAGCAAGGAAGGGAGGGAGGGGAACAAAAGAAAGGAATGAATGAAAGAGTTGTGGAGAAAAAAAGGGAAGACAGAGGGGAAGGGAGGAAAAGAGAGAGGGAGAAAATAGGGAGACAATGGAGGAAGGAAGGGAAAAGACAGGAAAGCAAGAAGGAAAATCTTACTTACCAAAGCTTTTTCCACTATAACATGTATTTCCAGATATTGGGGTAATAGTTTTGAAAGATTTTGTTTCTGGAAAACAACAACAGGGATTTATAAAATGTTAAAATTTATTGAATTTAAGAGAAAAAGATGACATGTAAAGACAGCAAAAAAAATGCATATAAAAACTTCATGAGGACTTAAATATAAAAATTAATTCCAATGTAGAAAATTTTACTTCAAAACATATTCCAAGCTTAAAATACTTCCAGTAAGCCTGCTAGAGTAATGTAGGGGTCTATGTAGTCTCTGTTAATGCTGAATGAGAAAAAAAGAGCATGAATATATAGATATACCTTCTGCTGTCTTCATCTGCTGACAAATGTATAATACCAGTTCACATTTGAACATTTTTCACTGACTGTCTTATGAAGGACTATAGCAACACTAACTGTGGCATACCAAAAATTGTCCATTCATGGAAATATTTGAGAAATCGTAGACTACACTGAAATTTAGATAAATATTGTACTTTATTAATAATAATTGATGATCTATGGGGTATGAGCACAATCAATGATTACTGCATTATATAAAATGGCTCACAAAGCTCATGCTCTGGAACTATTGAATTATTTATGATATTTTACATTCTGTTCTTTCCTGTGTATCCATATGATTATCACCTACAAATCATCCATTATTACCTCCTCATTTAACACTTTATTCATAATTTTACATGAGTTATATTTCTAACAAACTGAAGTACCATTTCACATATAGAAACTTCAGAGAAACTAAAATTTTTACTTTGCTCTAAGCATATTTATTGGTCACTAAATACAAGAGTAAAGAGGGTGTTGAATCTGCAATAGAATAGCCTGAGTTAAAATAAGTAAACAAGCAAAAAAATAAGCCAAACTATCATCTATCAAAACATATTTATTTATTTATTTATTTATTTATCCATATATCCTCTTCTTGTGTATTCATGTATATATGCAATTTTATAAGAAAGGGGGCTCTCATTTTTTTCAACATTCTGAAATATAAAATAAAATAAAAAATAAAATAAAAGCTTTCTGTTATTGGTGGGCTTTTTTGTAATCATACTATTGTATTACCATACAACTTGTTGCTCAAACTGAAATAATGTGAAATGAGAAGACAGGGCACTAAAATAATCAAAATTATATAATTACTAAAATTGATATTTAATTACTAAAAATTTTAACTTTCTCAGCAGAAACCTTACAAATAAAAAGGGTTGACATTCATCTTTAGTCTCTTTAAAAAGAAAGACTCTGCCAAGAATTTTGTATCCAGCAAAACTAGGTTTTATAAATGAAGGACACATAAAGTCTTTTTTCAGAAAAGCAAATGCTAAGGGAATTTGTCACTAGATCAACCTTGCAAGAAATGCTAAAAGGAGTTGTACATCTTAAAACAAAATGTCAATATATACTAGAATAGGACCTCTTGAAAACATAAGATCTATAGGACCTATAAAACAGTAACACAATAAAGAATATAAAGTATCCAAGTGATAATCAGCATGACTGAAACAATATCTCACATCTCAATATTAATGTTGAATGTAAATGGTCTAAATATACCACTTAGAAGACACAGATTGGCAGAATTAATAAAAAAAATTATGAATTACAAATATCTGCTGTCTTCTAGAAACTCACATAACAAGTAAAGATTCTTACAGCCTGAAGGCAAGGGGTGGAAAAAACATTCCAGACAAATAGAAACCAAAGGCAAGCAGGAGGTGCTATTCTTACATCAGATAAAATAGACTTTTAAGCAAAAACAATTTTAAAAGACAAAAGGATGTTGATATGGTTTGACTGTGTCACCACCCAAATATTGTAATAATCCTCATCTGTCAAGGGTAGGGTCAGGTGGAGATAATTGGATCTCGGGGGCAGTTTCCCCATGCTGTTCGCATTGTAGTAAACAAGTCTCATGAGATCTGATGGTTTCATAAATGAGAGTTCTTTGCACAAGCTTTCTATGCCTGCTGCCTTGTAAGATGCCTCTTTGCTTTTCCTTCATCTTCTGCCATTACTGTGAGGCCTCCTCAGCCATGTGGAGCTGTGAATCCATTAAACCTCTTTCCTTTATAAATTACCAGGTCTCTCTCAGGATGTCTTTGTCAGCAGTGTGAGAACCAACTAATACAGATGTCATTATATAATGATAAAAGGATCAATTCAACAACAAAGTATTACAGTCCTAAATATATATGCACCTAACTTTGGTGCTCCCATGTTCATAAAACAATGACTATTTGACCTATGAAAAAAGCTAGACAGCAACACAATAATAGTGGGTGACTTCAACACTCCACTGACAGCACTAGACAGATTATCAAGGCAGAAAGTCAACAAGGAAACATAGGACTTAAACTGTACTCTAGAACAAATGGACCTAACAGATATTTACAAAATAGTCTACCCAAGAACTACATTCTTCTCATCAGCACATAGAACATTCTCTAAGACAGATAATATAATAGTCCACAAAATAAGTCTCAATAAATTTTTTAAAAATCAAAATTATATAAAGTAGCTTCTCTGAGAAGTAGCGTGAAACTAAAAACCAACTCCAAAAGGAACCCAGTGGCGTACTAAAAATTTACACGGTGGAGTAAAACTAAAAATCAACTCCAAAAGGAACTCTCAAAAGAATAGAAATATAAGGAAATTAAACGACCTGAATGATTTGGGGATTAACAATAAACTCAAGATGAAAATTCTCAAATTTTCAAAATGAATGATAATAGTAATACAAATTATCAAAACCACTGGGATACAGCAAATGCAGTGCTGTATATTGTATCCACCAAGTATTCTCTCATTATCCACCCCCTGCTCACCTCCTCACCCATTCAAACCTTTATTGTCTGTTATTCCACACTCTACATCCCTGTGTGCACAGCATTTCTATGCCATTTATAAGTAACTACATGCAGTGTTTATCTTTCTGTGTCTGACTTGTCTCATGTAAGATAAAGGCCTCCAGTTCATCTATGTTGCTGCCACTGACAGGATTTCATCCTTTCTACAATATAACTGTTGGCTATTTGTATGTGTTCTTTTAAGAAACTCTGTTCACCTGTTCAAGTGTCTTGTCCAATTGCAAGCAAAGGCTCTTTAGCTTGTTGCAGTGTTTGTTGTTATTGTTGCAGGTTTTTTGTTTGTTTGTTGTTTTTGCTTTTGTTGTATGTGCTTTTGAGGTTCTGTCTAAAAAAATCTTTGCTCAGACCTACGTCATGTAGTGTTTTCCTTGTGTTTTTCATCTAGTAATTTCATGGCTTAAGGTTTTATGTTTAAATTTGTAACACATTTTGATCTTTTTGTGTCAATTCAGAGATGGGAATTTACTTTCACTCTTTTGTGTGTGAATATTGTTTTCCCAGCACCATATTTTGAAGAGACTGTCCTTTCTCCATTTTGAGTTCTTGGCATCTGTGAGAAAAGAAAAAAAAGAAAGAAAGAAAGAAAAAGAAAAGAAGAAAGAAAGAGGAAGGAAGGAAAGAAAGAAAGAAAGAGAAAAAGATGGAAGAAAGGAAAAAAGAGAGAAGGAAGGAAGGAAGGAAGAATGGAGGGAGGAAGGGAGGGAGGGAGGGAGGGAAAGAAAGAAAGAAAAAGAAAGACCAGCTGTAAATGCATGGTTCTATTTCTGGACCCTCTAAGTTGCTTAATTGCTCTATATGTCTGTTTTAATTCCAATATCATGCTGTTTTAGTTACTGTAGCTTTATAGTATATATTGCTCTTTTTGCTCAAGATTGCTGTAGATATTTGAGGTGTTTTCTTGTTCCATATACATTTCAGGATTGACTTTTTTTCTTTTTCTATAAAGATTGGTATCAGAATTTTGACAGAAATTGCATTGACTATGTGTCTTTAAGAAATATGAACATATTAACAATATTAATTATTCCAATTCATAAACATTTCATATTTTCCCCCTTATTCTGTCTTCTTCAGTTTCTTTCATCAATGTTTTATAGTTTTCATTGTGAAGATCTTTAATCTTTTTATAAAAACTTACTAATGGTTATTTTATTTTTTATAGCTATTATATGTGGTATTTTTAAAAATACTTTATCAGATATGACACTATTGGCATACAGAAATACTACTGATTTTTTAATATGGAGCATGTTGCTTTTAATTTCCATGTATTAGTGCAGTTTCCAATGTTTCTCTTGTGACTAATTTCTAGTTTTATCTCATTATAGTTAGAAAAAAATATATGATATAATTTCAATTTTTAAAAACTTTGTTAAGACTTGTTTTGCATCCCAGAATATAAGTTATCCTGGAGAATGTTCCATATGCAGTTGAGAAACATGTGAATTCTGAAGTTGTTGAATCAGATCTCCTGTAAGTATCCATTGGTCTCTTTGATCTTAAGTGGAATTAAAATGTAACATTATTCATTGTTTTTTTTTTCTTTTTTTTTTTGAGAGGTAGTTTCGCTCTTGTTACCCAGGCTGGAGTGCAATGGCACGATCTTGGCTCACCGCAACCTCCGCCTCCTGGGTTCAGGCAATTCTCCTGCCTCAGCCTCCTGAGTAGCTGGGATTACAGGCACGCGCCACCATGCCCAGCTGATTTTTTGTATCTTTAGTAGAGACCGGGTTTCACCATGTTGACCTGGATGGTCTCGGTCTCTTGACCTCGTGATCCACCCGCCTCGGCCTCCCAAAGTGCTGGGATTACAGGCTTGAGCCACCACGCCCGGCCTATTCATTGATTTTAAACCTGCATGTTTTCTCCTCTTCTGAAAGTGAGGTGTTGAAATCCCCTATTATTGTATATGTAGCTATCTTTTCCTTTAAATCTATTAATGTTTGCTTTATATATCTAGGTGCTACAATATTGGGTGCAAATATATTTGTGATTGTTACATCCTTTTCTTGTATTGACCACTTCATCATTATATAATGTCCTTATTTGTCTGTTTTTACACTTCTTTCCCTTGGAGAATACTTTTATATAAGTATAGCTACTCCTAATTTCTTTTGCTTTTTATTTGCATGGAATATATACTTTTCAAATATTTACTTTC